AAAGGTGTTTGTGCCATTTCTAGGAATGACGTGCATTTTTTTTCTTACATACTAATTCCCGTGAGCAAATAATTCACTGCACTGCTCTAAATTGAAACTAAACGAGAAACGAGTAACAAGTAGGTGACCTGTGAACACTTGGTACCTTGTGACGAACTCCAGGGCAGTCATCCCAGAACTGTCGAACAGCGTAAGGTGATGCCCGTACGTTTTAGCTCCATATATATTTGGCATGGTTCGTAGACCAAAACCAGTGAAGACCACGCCAATCGAGAAGCAGTGCCAGCACATTGAGTGACAAAGCTAAGAGCGATCGCGTATGGAGCGGATAGATGAATGGAACGCAAGTAGCGTGAAATGTCTGCGTCGCGCGCTCATTTCGTCTCCGATCCGTACACATCTTCACATCAGACTTAAAACTTTCTATTGTTTAACATCGGTTAGAAGTCAGTACAAATCGAAAGACTGCCCGTTTCAGACCTTTTTTGTACCAGTCATATGCTACGCAGGAGTGGGTATTGGAAAGGAAGTGTAGATCACTTGGGTACGAGGAGTTTTTCATAACCTGCGAAGCGATGTGGAAGTGGCTTTGAGCTTTGGTCGTAGACGACGATAACGATCCATCTTCATCTTCCATCGCCGCTTCTCCATTCGGGTCGCGCAGGTAGACGAGTCGGTCAGAACTTCCAACGTTCCCGAACCTGTGCCAGAGTCTGAGATTCGGCAGAAGACAACTGGATTCTGGAACAGACTCCTCCATATGTTTGCACCAGGTTATTCTTGACCGTCCCCTGGGCTTTCTGCCGGTCGAATTCGCAAGAAACACGATCCATCTTCACCTATCTAAACTTGGAACGGTCCGTCAAACTAAGGGAACTGGTACTAAGCGAACAGACGTTATGCATTTTTCAGTTTGGTGGTTTGCCTTAATTCAAGCAGTGAACTTTCTGACTGGGCTTTTGGCTAAACTATGGTCGTATGTTTCTGAAGAGTACGCAGATACATGCTTCAACAATGTATCATACGTTGAGCACATGGTCATGTTATTGGCGCGACACTTAAACAGCGCTACAGAATTATGACCTCGGGCACTCAGCCTTTTTACAATAATTCGGATCTGTCATGCTGTAAGGTGGTGAACGAGACAAAAAGGTTTCTGGAAGATCTAAGCTAGTAGATCAATTAGCGATAGAATGGACTATTTGCAGCAAGGTTATCATTTGACTGGAGCAGAAGATGTTCAAGCCTGTACAGAAATTGTTCAGATTAACTTTGTACGACCTGGTTCGAGTGCTCCCGCATAGTTTTGATCATGCAGATTTATAACTAGACGACCGTACAGTTTACAACGGACGCAAACGAGAACAATGAAGACGATTTCATGAACTGAATAATCAGATTGGTTAGGGACAAGCAAACGAATGAATGTACGTGTATTTCCTCAAAGGGAGCCTGAAATGATCCATTTACCTTGAAATAAATGTCATTTTGTACGTTCTTCTTCACTTCTTTGTTTATAACTCAGTCATGTGCTTTAATACATAATATCCTTCGCTCGAAAATTTCCGTCATGCCTAAAATTTTACGTTCCTTCTTGTTATCTCAGTGGTCAAGATGATTATAAAAAAATAGTAAATAATGTAGGAGTGAACCTGTTTCTGATAAGCTGAAAGAAAATCCCTTTACTAGGTTGTGATAGTGAACAGATATGTAAAAGAAAACAGACAAAAATGGGTTGAGATGATAAACCACAACAGATATCAATGTACTGCTCTGACGCAGGCAGCTCGCGCCATGAATGGGAGGTGGAAATAAAGGAGGGTTCTAATCTCGTGAGACATGAACTATTATTAAAAGCGTTTGCGGTATAGTATGCAGATGGCAGACATACTCTCGACCGTAAATACTTCATATGCGTACAGTAAAATTGTCAGTTTAAGTTACGATCAGTACGTACAGTTTAAGTTACGACCAAAATGTAGCAGATTTATTCATTTTTCTTAATTTGCCGTTTCGCCTGGTACATCTGAGGAAAGGTCCGATCAGATTCGTCCCTCTTCAATCACACCCCTTTTTAATGACGCAAGTATTGAAAACTACTTTCCGGCCAACGCTAATGCTTATTACTAACTAGTTGTCTAGCAGATCAATGCTTGTATCACTATAATATACCGTAAATGATTTAATTCTGTTGCTGCAGATCATCCGCCGTAACCACAGTTGGGCGGAATTAAGGCAAGGACGTCAAGGTGCACGTTGAAATCGGTTAATGAGGAATCGATCGATTATATCAAAAGAGTTTACTGCTTAAACTAACGGAAATAGTATGTACAACTAGCATAAACTAAATTTCACCCATTGGTATAACACTATACATATTGAGCTTCGTCTTGTCATTCGATATTTCTTGTCTCATTGTCT